TTCGGCAGCCAACCACGCTGCAGCAGGGGGAGGGGAGGAGATGCGGCCACGCTCCAGAAACAGGGCGATCTGCCGCTCTCCCGGGAGCGCGGAAAGTGCCACGCACACCAAGCGCTGGGAGCCCTCCTAGGCAACCAACGAGCAGAGCCCCGAGCCGCTCCCACACCCTGGCCAAGGGGACTCTGCCCCACCACCAGGCTGCAGCTTGGATGGCCAAAGTCACCCCTGTCCTGCACCCAGCTAGGGGTTGCTCCATTCTACGCTCAGTCTTTGTGGCAAAAGGTTTTACATCCTATTTGGCATCACCCTCAGCTGTGTCCCCGCTGCCGACTCCATCCTAGCCCCTACAGCCGAGCAGGTGGGACTGCAGAGAAGCCTCCAGCTCTGCGGTTGCTATTGCAGCGCCCACAGAAGCAGCCAGACACAGGACAAGATCGCTGGGAGTCCTCACGTCTCAACACTGCGCAGTGCAGAGCTGGGCCTTCCACTGCATGGAAGCCTCTGTTTGATCTCCAGATGCTTTATGCAGGGAGAGGACAAATGCCAGAGCATCAACAGCATCCAACTTAGTCAGTGGATTGTTGCTACAACCATCCCACCCACAGCAACACGCAACGTTCTCGGCGCTCTCTCTACAACGTTTCATCAGCCTCTGGAGGCACCATGACCCAACCACCTACATCTGCCCGAGTCAGGATTCTTGTCCCTCGCCACAGGCTCCCCCAGAGGGGAAAGGGCTTCAGATATTCCAGCAGGGAGCCCAGCCACGTTGACATGAAGGCTCTCTTTCTTGCTTCAGCTCACAACAAACGCACCTTGACTAAGGCCTCCTACTGCACGCCCTTCCCTAGCTCTGGAGAGCAAACTTGGCTGGCTATGGGGCACTCAATGCTACGGCACCATTAAAAATACATATATTTAATCACGTGAGTTATACAGTAGGAGAGTAAACACGTATTATTTATCTTACGGCGAAAGCCATTCCTGGCAATGAAGACACAGCCTAATTATAGAGCAGTGAATCCCGCGGTCTGCAGCCATGGCTGGGACCTCAGGCTGTGTGGGAGACCACGTCTCCCGTGGGGGCTGCGGGCCGCGCGTGGGGCGGGCAGGAGCGCGGGCAGCGATGCGGCTGGCCCGGCCCGCAGCCCAGCCTGCCCCCGCAGGACACGGGGAACCGCAGCGGCACGAAGGCGGGG